CATTAATACTTCTGGTAATAAGTAATGTTGCAACATCAAGTTTCCAGAAGAAGATTCAATGGCCTCTCACATTTACTAGCATTAAATCTTTGTTACTCATTCCTCCAGGACAGCTATCATGCACAATGCACGGTATTTCTGCCCGAATGCATCAATACAGAATTGTAGTATTGCCCTGAACATAACCATTTAAAGTACATGCTTGCTTTTATGCTCATCTGTTACACTAAGAACCTTGGTAAAGGAATCACCTTGGTAATGCTTCAGAACACACTATAAGTATTCATTTCAGGAAAAAAAAAAAAAAAAAGAAGAATAAATCAATCCCTAATGTTGTACAGAGCCAGCCTAATACACGTTGTGATTCTCTAAAAGTAATGATAAAATAACAGATTATTCCCCCCCATTCACATTTTACAATAATCTCACGTAGTTTAAATTACCTACATCTATCAACCCCATACAGTGGTCAGGGCTGAAACAGTGTGGACCAAATCCACAGAAGTCAATTAGTTATGCCAATTTGCTCCAGCTGAGAATCGATTCTCAGTTGTCTTTACACTTCCCATAGAATATTCTGTAGGAAGCATTGCTTTAATGAAGCTCCGTCAGCATGTATGGGAAATGTCAACGAGATTCCTCCTCTCTGCCTTCTGCACTCTTTCAAACTAACAGGTGTGTTTTTACTTTTTTAATACCTAGAAAACCACAGCCTCTTAAAAACGGCAGACAAATTTGAAAGATGTTTGAGGAAACAGCTTCAATGTCAAAGACACAGTGCAAGTATTCTCCTCTTCTTCCTTTGGCAGGATTTCCCAAATATGCAATTAAATCATTAGAAACGCTCTTGCCCAGATGCGGCTGAGGTGGAATAATTACAAGGAATAAAGCAAACAAAAGAAAGATCAGAAGATACATTAACTTTTACTAGCCGTGCTGGTGTTTGTGCATTAGCATTTTTAATAACGATCTCATTAGCATTTAGTCCAACAAGCAAAAGAAACCTGTTTATTTGATAATTTATTTATTCTAAAATAACGCAACCTTTTTTATTTGCCCTTGTTATGAGCTCACTAACGTTAAAGGCACCACTACAATCAGTTAAGTAATTATCATAGGATAAAAGCCTCCACCATGAAAAAGTTTTGTTTGAAAAAGCATGAACTGCGATTCTCATTGATAGCTTTCACTGAGTGCAGGATTCAGTACATTGCAGCACAAAGGCCTAGATTATCTCCCTCTGTTAAAGGCTTAAAATTCTACAACCAGACCATGCCAGTTACCAGTATCAGATTATGATAACAAGATCATGTTCAGTTATAAAAACAAGTGTCTAAACTTTTCTCATGTCACTTTCTATCTAAGTCCCATTGCTAGTGGTGAAAGGACCCATCTGAATGTGTGTAGAAGCTCATTTTAAAGCTAGCTCTTTGAACTGGATTCATGGGGTATTTGCATAAGAAGATTTGGGTAAAAAGAATGGGCTGGTGCTGCATCTGCCCATTAATATGCCTGCTAATTCAGCACATTGTAAGCCTATTGATGTATCACAAAAGGCTCAAATTCAAGGACAGTTATCCTATTGCCATTGTTAGGGTTTGAATTCAAGTAATATGTTCACTATAGGAATACAGTTGTTACAATTAGATATTTTTCTATAATGGTATAAAGAACCAACGACAATCAGAATTACAACAACACTGATAAAACTTTGGAATTCATGAATTCTATTATTTTAAAAAGATGCAGGTGCCGATTAATTTTGCTTTGCATAATACTTGCATCTAGAGTACCGGAATACTTAAAGAGCAGCAGCAAACTGTGGCAACGGAGCCTACCAAAGCAAGCACTCGCCCTTCAACGCTGACACACATTTATCTCGCTTACAAGAGTTGTAATAAAAAAACTAAAACACTAAACTGGGTTTTAACAGAGCAGAAGGAACACACGTGATGAGCACGAGTACACAGCGAGTGCTGCGCCGAAGCACCAACAGAAAACTGCAGGAGAGACCCAAAGGAAATGCACAGGGAGACCCGCACGTTGAGCCTATATGAACTCAGTCCTTCCAAGTACCGGGCTTACACCTGACGCTACAGCACAGGCCCCGTGAGGGGAGATGGCAAAGAAACTGAGCCTTTCCCCGTGCTGGCAGCCGAGGCTCCTTGGTGCCGTGCTCCCACACTGCGGCGCTGACACGGGGCGGCACAGCGCCGGGACGGGGCACGGCGGCGTTTTTCTCACTCCGCATCCCTCAGAGAAGACATCAAAAGAGCAGAGAGATGTGCTCTTTGTTTTGTTTGGTCTCTGACTCTCAACATGTGGTTTCGCAGGCCCAAACATCGGCACCTTTTAACCTATTCTGTTCAGCTTAGGCCTTGGCTTCATTTGAGCATTAGGGAAACTATAGTAACCAATAATCTGCCCGTCCCTGAATAGAAACTATGTACCTTGTCACACAAGAGCCCGAGGATCACCATTCGAGACAAGTTCCTTTACAGGCCCTCGGCTTTCTTTGCTGGGGCCCGGCCTGTCTCTGTGAAAAGGTGTCAAAACCCTTCGCCTCTTTGCAATGGGGGATCTGTGTTAATGTTAATTTATATTTAACAAACAGGATATTGTCCCCCAGAATGTATAAGTATTTGATTATCTATTACAAATGTTTTCATCAAGTCATAAACGAGGGCCCTTGACAAAAGGTCCTCCAGGAGCACTGGGAGGAGGGCTGGTGGGCATCACGGTGTGCCGGGCCGGCTGCTCAACCACCCGGTGCAGGTGATGCGCAGCCCTGCGTCCAAATGCCAGGAGGAGACGTGACTGTGATGGGAGCAGCAAAGCCTCCCTCCGGGCTCACCCTTGCTGAGTCAAAAAGCTTTCTGCACAAGTAAGCTGCAAAACAGAACTTTGAGAGTTGTTGGTTTTATGCACGTATGTATTTCGGTTGCGATCCGATCTCCAGCTTAATGAGCCTCCCCCCAGGCACTGGGAAAATGTTATCACCAGTCCCATTTTTCACTCCATCTCTAATCCTGCGCTGCACTGTCTTGTTATTAGCAGGAAAAACAACAACAACAACTCTGTATATCATGTAGATCAGAGCCAGGAAAGAAAGGAACAAATGTCAAGGGTTTGAAGAAGCGATTCACATCCAGCTTCATTTCATCTCTGTCACTCTCTCCTGACTCTGTCGTGCAACAGCTGACTGCTAACATATTTCCCTCCAGTGAAAGTGACATTTTTGCTTTCTTTCTAACATTAATAGGGAGGGGAGCTAAACTGTAAGTGTTGCACCAAAACAGCGCGCTGCAAATCGAGGTATTTGGTATGAAACTTAAGACCTTCTGCATTAAGCTCTTTCACTGTGACCTGACATAAACTGGCAACTGGCAGCCGTCTGCTTTTGGCAGCTTGGCATATTTGGTCATTTATTGGGTGCATGTGAAGATCAAATGGGTTAAGATTCTTCTCCTTAAACAGCAGGGAAAAGAACATCAAAAAGGTGTAAATTTCATTTCCCCAGTTTTGATTAAGTCAAGCATGAAATGAAATGTAATACTCTCAAGTGGCAAGGGTTTATACTATTGATGTTGTTACTTCTGCTTCACAAAGCCCAATCAGCCGACAGTGAGTTGAACAAGCTAACAGAGTTTTAGGGTGGCCAGATGGAGGGTTTTTACTATGGTTGAAAAGACAGCTTAGTGCTTGCCTCTTCAAGCCAAGTCAATGCCAACTGTGTGAAATCCTGGCCATTCTAACCCTTTTTTTTTTTCCTTCCCTCCTCTCAATGCTGGTGGCTAGCACCATACAGGCCTGATAAAAGCAATCCCTTCAGCAAAACAATGTGCTGAATGAACATTTTCCATCAGAAGCGTTGTTTATCTTCCCCCAAAGCGCAGAGATTTCTGTATTCACTATTCAGATCAATCACATTACAGTATTTAAGTTAATGGAGAAAATACAGCTCATTTCAATGTTATCTGAAAGAAGTCCCTGCAAGAACGTGTTAGTTTCTCTGAGAGCAGAACATTATTTGCTTTAAATGGTGTGGTAAAGCAAAACTCATGTGCCACAGGAATAAAGATTTAAAACTGTACCTCGTTCATCCATTACGTGAAACTAGAGTTAATTCAGAACACAGCAAGATGCACACTGAGAAACTCTTTAGATCTAGGACACAAAAGTAACAGGTCTTAAATTGAGTGTGGTCTTACTTCGTTAGGAAATTTGTCCCTTTTTTATAGGTGCTTTTTCAGGCCCCTTGTTCCCACTACATTCTCAAATTTAATGCTCTTGCCACTATACAGCTGGACTAGAATAGAGTGGCTTTAGTAAAGACTTAATAGAATCTTTAATGCTTCTAACAATCCACTCCCATTGAACTGCATTAAGTAGATATTATGGAAGGACAAAGAGCTAAATAGCTCAACATCAACCTCATTAGGCATGCAGGCAGGCCTTGAACCATTTTATGGGCAAGCCTATTGTTAGAACACTCACCAGGTTAGCTTTAAATTGCAAATGATACCCTGAAAGGGGAAGAGAAGTTTTGGAGAATGGCCTCACAGAAAGAAAATCATTTTAGGCTATAAGAAAATGAAAGGCATTGTTAAAATTGCTCTGACCGTAGCAAATGAAATACATCATGGAGTTGAGAGGCTGAATGCTACACTTGAGGGTTTTTTGTAGCTTTTTTTCCCCTTGCCGTTCAAGAACGTGGTATACATCAGAATGTAAACAATATACAATCTGTAAGACTTAATAAGGGTGGCTCAACATACTATCCTTTGTCTGCAGTTAAACGTATGAGAAGAGGACAATAATTAACTGGATTGGAAAAAGACAATAAAATTATCCCCTTTGAATAAATGGCAAAGTGTGGCGAATACTACATAGAAAACTTTCCAGCATTACAATTCCTAATCAATAAGGACTCATTTTGACCAGTTTAAGTCTTAGCACTTGAGCGTTCAAGAATATTAAAAAAAAAAGTCTCTCAAGAATTGTTGGCAACTGCAAAGTGCTTTAACAACTGACATTATGATGCTGCAAGTCTGGGAACGTATTCCCAAGCAGAGCCCTTCTCTGTCACCTTAGTGGATGAATAATTGTGCCTTTGCATATTCCTTGTCATAAATGGCAGGAATGAAGGGACCCCAAGGACCGCACTGGCAGAATTGGTGCCGTACAAGCAGAGTAAATTAAAACAAGGATTAGAGCAAGTATGATTGGGGATGACAAGCAGGGCAGTTGTTGCCACACAACGTGCCTTTTTGCCCATATGGTCTGTACCAAGCTTACACAGCACAAACCCTCTAACATGGATGCTTATTAAAGCATTCCTTCTTGATCAGGACAAAAAGTCCTTAAAGCTTCATGTGACAGGAGAAAAACAGAGTTTCATTCACGCACGCGGGCAGCAGCCTCAAGCACTATTATTTATGAATATTTACATGCAACTGCCCAGTCTTTACTTTTCATTAGATGAATACACAGAAAAGCCCATAAACGTGAAAAATTGAGGCTACAGTCTGCACTCATAGATATCTGTTAACTATGGTTCTTATTGAATTAAGAGTGAATGAATTGAAAGCTATATTTAAAATATATATATATAAAAATCAGACGCTTAAGGTAATTCAGAACTTCCTTCCCAAGCACGGACAGGCAGAATACGCAGAGCGCAGGTCATTTTTAACTACTAAGTGATTGTGGAAGTACAGAAGGAGCTCAAAAAAACATGAGATTCATGCAGGGAAATGTTTGGCTGATTGCTTGCATGCTACTATAAACACAACAGAAGAGCAGGGCAGTTTTCTTCAGCTTATAGGAGTAGGAAAGAGCAACTCCGTCACCAAACCACTGTGCCATTTCACATGACGTGGGATTTTCTGGGCCTCAGTTCTTCTATCTACAATGGAAATAGTTACATATTATAATTACACTCCTTATAATTCTCCCAAAAACAAACATACTAGGTGCTTCTCCCACCACTGATTTACCTTTCACTAAAGGATCACACCACCAGTCCTAATTTTCAGACAGATGTCTAAATTCTACAAATGCCTGGGAACAATCTGCAGTCCTAGAGAAGAGCTTTGCCTATAGCAAGATACAAATGTGTTGATGTTTACTCTGTACTGCAACAAGCTATTCAGATAGCAGCACAAAAACAGAAGTGCAAGATCTTTTATTTAAATTCTGTTCCTTTGTTAGCTCTACCTGATCACAAATCAGCATCAGGTTTTACTCCCAGGCTGATCTCTTTTTCTCAGCTAGAACAGCCAGTTCTGCAGTAGTAATGAATTTAGGGAAGCTCCCACATATGGATAGGCACACAAAACACTGCATTAAGTGCAACCAGCAAAAACATTGGCAGTTAGAACATGACAGGTGCCTCTGGGAATCACCCAAGAGTTCCTGTTAAACTAGACAGAGATTCCTTGTAGAAAGCCTTAGGCCTTTAGGTAAGAGTCTCAAAATTTCAAGCAGAGCTTACTAAATTGTCCTGACCAGAGCTCATCACAAGTGTGAGCACAGGAAGCGTCCACACGCAGCGCATTACTGGGGTCTACCTAAGCAGTACCAAGATTGTGCACCATAGCCAAGCTGTCCTTTTGATAGTCGTATTACTGAAGGTCCAGAGCATAATAGCAAACGTGCTGTTCCTATCAGCAAGCTTTGGCCGCTGCAGAACAGCACAAGCTCCTCGAACGTGTTACGGCTCTCTCAGCAGGCAGACAATTCTGAACCTTTGTCAACAAATACAGTCCCTAATAAGCCTACGTATGGGAAGTTCTTTGGTCAGCTGTGATAAGTCTATTACAGTAACATAAAAGATGTCCAGTTCTAATGGCGAAAGTTCAGATCATTTAGCAATAACATGTCAAAGATCAAAACAAAGTGACTTAGAAAACAGTCCAAGACAGCTCCTTCCCATGGAAACAGCTGTCTGAACTGAGATTTGGCTATTATGCTCCACATAACATGCCCGAGGCATCCAAGAACTGCCAGCATTTGAACTCCTTCAGAATCAATTTGTCAACCTCTTTTTGGCTTGGATTATTTGCAAACAGTAACCTGAGCATCATAAGTAACAACGAACAAGCCTAAAATCTCAAGTTCAGCAAGAGTTGCTTCACATGGGTATCTAGGGTTTTATTACACACATTTGCTTTTAATAAATTAACACCCAAAATTATTTTTTTTTTAAAGCTATTATCTTAACTGCATCCTCCACACATACACATCTTCTGAGGACCAGCTAAAATTTGAGAGTCAATCCTGCGAGCTGGCAGGTGAGAACCACAACTACAACTCCCTGCTCGGTGGCAAACAAAAATCAGAAAGAGGCTGAACAAGTACGTTTGGCTACAGGCATAAAAGTTGAGTAAACAGTAATCAGAAATGAGTCATATTAAGAAGCCTACCTGGTCCAAAACTTGTTTGAAAGCTAAAAAGAGATGTTTATCCATTGAGCTAGGGACCTTCCAAAGTAGTGAACCTGAAGACAGGAATAGACAGGACAAAAGGTACAACATGTTAGATCCTTAGTTTACTAATAATGGCATTTTATTTCATCAGTTCCTAGATCCCATGTATGTATATTGCAGAACCTAATGCTGACAACACACTAAAAGCTGGAAGCACCAAAACACTGTGAGCTGCTTACCTGCCCGGACTTTTGCAGTCCCTTCCCAACTTCAAAGCATGCTGGATTAGATCCCTTCCCTAAAAAAATTCCCAGATTCTTGCTTTTCTGGCAGGACTTGCTCTTGGTATGTAACTACTGATGCAGTGCCAGAAAGGATCATATTAACCTATATCTTAACTTTAGCAGCACCTAAAAATTACAGGCAGATGTGCTAGAAAACTAGCAAGTGACAGATGCTACTGCATTTAGCTCATTTTCTCAATCCAAAAGACTTTAAAACTAGTTTGTTTCTTATATTAAGAACCATTTCATTTTGACTATACTTTATCAATCATACACTGCTTTCAAAATTTTTATGGCTTCAGGGAAAAGCAGAAAGTAAACCCAGACTCGGCTAGCTATTATTTGGATGGATGTATTCATATTCATTAGGACCACCGGAAACCTCTTGGTTCACATCTAAGTTTTGCTAGTCATGGAACAAATTAAAAAATACAAATAAGCCATGTTATGAATACAAATGACCCTTACATCACTAACCACAGACATATTTCATGCTTCAGTTTCATCTATCCACAACAGGATTTAGACACTGATCTGCAGGCGAACAGAAGAGAATTGTCTAGAGCGAGGTCCAGTAGTTAGGTCATCAAGCCTGAGATGTGGGAGACCCAGTTCAAACCCTTGTCCTGTGGGATTTAGGTTAGTCACCTATCGGTCATTTAGGTTGAGATGCTCAAATGTACTCAGAAATATACTCCTCTTATGCTTCCAACTCTCAATGAAAATAAGAGAGGCATCTAAATCTCTGCAAGTAATTTCTTAAGCATCTAAATTCTTTTGGAGATCAGGTTTTGAGAGCTCCCTGTCAAAAAGTGTGGAGCGCATTGCCCTACTGGGCAACGAGGGTAAATGCCTTCAAGACTCAGAAGTTTTAATGTTACATACATGGGGATCAGATAAGGACATCTGGCTGAATTACACAGAGGTTGTTTAGCATAATTCTCTTTATATTCATGTCGTTGAAATAGAAACAGTTTCTTCAAAATGGCAAGACATATATATTCCAGGCAAAAGAAAGTGCAAGTCTGGGATCATTCTCAAAGAAGTTTCGTAAATATTGATACGACCCATTATAATAACTGTGAATTTTAAAACTTCTTCTAATACTCTCAAAGTACTTCTAGAAAAAACAGGTATTAATCAATCTTAGCAGGAATGTTTTGGACAGCTGCTCAAGCTTTCAAGTTGTGTACAATTTCCTGTCTGTTTACATAGAGAATTACTGACAACACATGAAGAGAAATCCAATGAAGTAAATGTGAAGGACTTTCTGTTTTGGACTTCTCAAATTCTAGACTGAGGCTACAAAATTAAATCAATAGATTACACACTCAAGGATATTTCATACAAAGTGACTTCTGATCTAATCTGCACTGAAACGTAAAACAATCAGTCTCTGAGAACTCTGAAGTATCACCAGCTCCACTGACTTTGTATTACTTAACATTTTAAATGCGTTTCAGAATAAGCCAAGAGAATTTACGTGAAAGGAGGAATCAGGCTTAACAGCACAGTGATAGCACAGTACAAACCTCTGAGTCATTATTACTGCTCTGACTTCAAATGCAGTTTCCCCTCTGCACTCCTCTCACTCATCCCAAAAGATTAAATGTTTTTCAGTAGGCTTCATTCCACACGTGGTACATTTCAGACCTGCCCACTTGATGTCCTGAAATCCTGATGCTGCAATTCCTCTGAAAACAGGTGAGCTATGTATGAAGAGAACCAGTAATGTTCCACTCCTGTCAAAGCACACCTGTGTGAGTGGTTACCTTGACACACAAGAACCCCATAAATCTTTGTGTCCATAAGTATCTTTGGACTCAGAGCCTAAGTGAACTGCCACTGCATTACGACTGAGTTCAGGATGAGTGAAACCCTCCAACTGCCTTTCCCCAGATCACCCAGAGAGCCCACAACCCCAACTACCTTTTCATTAGTAAGGTTTTTAATGTTCCACTTCTTCCTACCAGTTACAGAGTACGCATTTCTGTCACTTTGCCTTTCAACACTTCTAATGACTCACAACAAAGGCATGGGCATTGATGAGCCTGAAAATAAGGGGAAACTAAAAGACAGCCTTTTCTGTCATGGAATGGAGGCAGAGAGACTTAGTCACAGCATTCAGTGATCTTTTTCCTCATTAAACACCTATTTACTAAAATAATAATAATAATAATCAAACAACCCCACAAAAAGAAAAACAACAAAACACACCCCAAAAGCAGGATATGGGATATGTAAAAGCTTTATTTGAAATAGAAATAAGTATTTTGATAGGCTACTCAGAAAGTAATGCCTCCTATTTATTTATATGGAAACTGCAACAGACGCTGAGAGCACAATAACATATTTGCAAGAGCAAATTATCAGTACAAAACACTATTTTTCAACACAGTCATCACCACTCACTATCTGTTTTTGTCAGCAATGAACAAGAGTCTGCATGCAGCATTTGTCAAAATCTGCACCAGCAGAGGTAAGTCACCACTGCAGCACCCACTGCCTCACTGTGCTCACAGCCACCTGGTCACCAAGAAACTCTCAGCAAGTATCAATGAATGTCAGTGGGTGCCATTTTTTTCCACATGGAGGAACTAAATGACATACCCTCGCTTCATACACACTTCCACGTCAGATGCCACGTGGCCAAAGCACCCCTCTGCTGCCATCTGTCACACAGCAACAACATGTAACGGAACACTGGTGGGAAGGTCCAGCCTCTACTGCTGACCACCACCATCCGTGTCTGTTGGCTGCTGTGGGCCAACATCATAACCTAAGGGGTACTACTTTCGGAGCAGCCTTCCTATAAATAAAAACATGTGATGGCTGTAGCTTATTTGTTCCAATTGGGACTGAATGCTGCCAAGGAAAGTTGTAGAGTTGAGTTAAGTTTCTTAGCAGAGACAAAGGTAACTCCTATCATTATTAAAAGATAAACATGTATGTACTGAGAAAACTAATTAAACTGAGTTACCAGGAAGTCCCTTATGAATATCCTCTGGAGTAAGCTCTGATGTAAAGAGATCTCAATTTTGTGGTTAAATAATTTGAAGAGATTAATTAGTAAAGAATAAGCATTAATAACAATCTTGTTAAGATAAAGGTAACATTATTTTTTTTACCCCCTATCTACCACTCCTCTAGATCTACCTTATGAAAAAGCTTTTTTTGCACAAAGATGCTATTAGCAAGAAAGTTCTCTGAATCATTTAAAAAATATTTATTAACTGTATGCTAGAAACACACAACATTCTGAGATGAAAACTTACCTCTACGCCAGATTTACATAAAGGATTAAGCTCCTTCCAGTTCAGAACTACTTTTCAATCTCAACTTGGGAGAACTGATCTTTATCCCAAATTTCTTTTTGTTCCTCTGGAAGTTCACTTTAATCCAGCTTGCTTAATTTTCACCTTCTCCCTAAACCTTCTAGGCTTGTTACATGATAGCTAAGGATCATTATCCACCCAGGCTGAGGGGGTTTTCCCTTCATTAATTTCTCTAAGAAGATTACCAGTGCTTGTTTGTTGTTGTTTAAGCAAATGATTTCCCTAAGCTCTTTGTTTTTCCAACTGGTTTACACTTTAATGCCCTTGATTGAATTTCAAACAAGAGATCAACTTGACCAACCAACTCTGTTGGGGGGGGTGGAGGGGGTGGGACAACCAAAAGACACTGAGGAAGAAGGAACTTTATGCAAACTACTTAGGCAAGAAGTGCTTAAAAACTTATTCAACCATTTAGTCAGAGATGCATCATAATTAGCATATCATTCAGGACTTGTTTAGTTTTTAAAGTCAAGGTGACTTTCCTTGAAGACAGAATTTTCTAATTACAACAGAAGCGTGTGTCACATTTAAAAATAATAATCTGAAACAACCGCTATTAACTGGTTCAGTTCTACATTTGTCCCTCCCATCTAAACATCTCCTCATTGGAAAGGGGTCACATCTTCTGCTCATCTGAAAAGCAATAGAACAAACCATACAGAAACTGGATATTTATTGTTCGCAGTAACAATTCCTATTCAAGTAGTCATTTTGAAGTCACACATTCAGAACTAAGTGATTTAGCCTCACCTAAGCTTTTACATTAATACATACAGCATTTAAACACTGTGGAGCTTGCAATGAAGTCTGTATGCTTACATAAATTTGTACACAAACAAGGACATCAGTAACATGCATCGCTTTTACCTAACACATACCCAAGGAATTATCTTTGCTTAGATGAGGTTATATCACTTTTACATGGGCTGAACACCCACCTCAGTAAGAAGAGACGAGTCAACTTCAATTCCATCACACTCTACTGATGGGTCCAGTTGTGCAATCCACATTTACAGACTGCAGTGTTTTATTTGTGGAGCCACAAGCAGGAAAAGTCAGCAGGTTTAGGCTGTTTCTGCAGGGCTACTGTAAGCCTGCTTCAGATTCTTTGCATGCCTACATTGCATAGCATCAGAAAGTGAAAGTACTGCAGATCAACAGGCATGAATATGCACAGATACATGAACGTGGCATAGAGTTGCATACATGTTCTTTTCACTGAAGTCAGGGAATTCAGCTATTTCAGCAGAAGTCAACCTATTTTTCCTAGTGCTGGGCATTTGGCATTCTGAGATACCTACTCTGGGTCAGAAATAAATGAAAGCGACCACTTCAGTTGCATTTTAAGTTTAAGATTCTACAGAGCATAAAAACTGCAACCAATAACTACCTGAAAAGCAGAGTATTTACCACAGAAATAAAGAGATAAGCACCAAGTAAGAGCCAACCTCT